TATGAGACACCATTAAATTTGATTTTTATCGCATGAACTACCTAGTATTTCAATACATATATATTGTTAAATAAAGTTGCCAAAGTTTTGTAGTTTAAATGAAATATTACGTTGCAATAAATACTTCGGATAATAATAATAATTTAATTCGAAAGAGAATGGTATATATAGATCGCATACAATATTCATGTACATGAAATATATTAATTACATTCATACATCATGAAAAAAGCAGAAGGTTTATGACTCTACTATATTTGAGATAAATAATTATGATAAATCCTTGACCAAGTATAAACCGTGATAACACTTCAGTGGACATTATTACTATACATTATACAGTATAGCAAAGCATGGAGAAACATTTTAACAATAATTTATCCACCGTATAAATAACCAAAATCGCAATAAGAGCTAAATAACTGGACATCTAAATTGATTTTCCAGTTTCTCAAAACAATAATAAAAGAATTCGGGGATTGTTACTCGGATTATCGAGGCAAGGGTTAAAAGTTAGCAATTCGCCGATTAAACGGCAAACGAGGCATAGTTTCTTTCCGTTACCTGGATGTACGGCGTGGCAGTGGTTGAGGAGCGGCAGCCAACAGAGCAGTAGCACCGCTCTCTGCATCTGAAACAAAAACCGCAAGCATTTTTCACAAGCGTCCTGTTTAATTACTATTCCGCAAGCGCGGCCGCCTTCTGATATAATAATACGCTAATTAAAATTCACGATGAAACAGCTCGGTATCGGTGGGCCACCGCGACAAGCGATGAAATCATGGCAGCCGCTAATTACGGAGATAATCTTTGCTCTCGTTAAAGAAACCCACCATCGACATCCAAACCTCGAACATGAGTAATCATTGCACAGAGAATTTCATACGCTTATGACAAAATCTGCTAAGTGAAATAAAAAGCATTGAGCACATCAGAAAGGTTTAAGGATCTTGTTGCATCGTTTTTAATTTGTCGACGCTATTAATAGAAGAATCACACGTTTGTTCAGCTTTCGTTCGTTGTAATTGACGCGAACAATTTTTATTTTGCAGAAAAATACGCAGTCTAATTAATATTCTCAGAGCAATATGCTTATGGATATTATCTTGTTATTGCGAGCATTTCTCAGATCTTAATTAAATCGTCACAATTTCGTCCATCGTTAAAAGTCCTAATTTATGACTGATCCCCAAAAAGATACTTCGTGATAAAACAAAACACACGCTATTTATAAAAATTTAAATAATCTAGAAATGTATACAAATCCGCAGTCCAGTTAAAACTATTAATATATTCGCCGTCGAATTGTTTTATAATAACGAGAAGATTGAATATATTTAAACTTCGTACGAGTATATTGTATATAAGAAATATGCAATATATAATACAATTCTATTAGAAATAATAGAAAATAGAAATACGCGAATAAGGTGTTTTTTTGTTTATGAAGAAAAAATGTTTTCTTACGTGACAAATATATTTATCAAATTAATTTCTACATGTGTTTG